AAATAGAATAACCATATGATTCAGCAATTCCACTTCTGGGTATATACCCAAAAGAACTGACAGTAAGATCTCAAAGATATTTAGACACCTGTGTTCACAGCAGCATTGTTTACAACGGCCAAAAGATGGAAGCAACCCAAGAGTCAATGGACAGATGAATGGATAAATACAAAATGTGATATATACATATAATGGAATATTGTTCATAACTAAAAAAAGTAAGGGAATTTTGACATATGCCACAACATGGATGAACCTTGAGGACATTATGCTAAGTGAGTAAGCCAGTCACAAAAAGACAAATATTAAATGATTCCACTTATATGCAGTATGGAGGATAGTCAATTCATAGAAACAGAGTAGAATGGTGATGCCCGTGGCAGTGGGGAGGAGATGGGGAGGCGTGCTTTAATGGGTATAGAGTTTGTTTTGAAAATTAAAAAACGTCTTGGAAACAATGTCTTTGGGAAAAGTAAGTTTTGTTACTATATATATTTTGCTACAATTTTTTAAAAAATGAATCACTTGAAACTTTTTTTTAAAGATGACTTAAATACAGGAATATTTACCAGTGCAGAATCACACTGTGGATCAGTAATAGAGAGGGAAATTATAAACTCTTCATCTCCTGAGATTTCAGCAGAATTTAATGGACAGTTTAACAGTATGAAAAACAAGCAAGAACTAAGTCAGGATAAAAGAGCCAACTTGGAAAAAGAAAGTGATTGGTATAATGACCAGTATAATCAGATCACAAGAACAGAGAAACAGACAAAACACACGAAGAAATGTCCTAAAAGGCCTGATTGGAATATAAATAAGCCACTCAAGAGGTATATCCCAGCATCAGAAAAGTACCCTAAACAGCTTCAAAAACAAAGAGAAGAAAAAAAAGTAAGAAGGCAAATGGAACTGCTTCATTTGGTTGAAAGAAATAATCCTGGACACCTCTCTCAGAATAGAGGCACTTCACCAGAAGCTCATTCATTTCATCAAGAAATGGAGTCAAATTTCAGATGGCATCTAGCCAAAAAGGTAAAGCTCTTCTGTCTTAAAAAAATTATTATAAAAGCATGTATTGATGTTTCCAGATTCAAAACACCCATTCAAAACCCTTGTTTATAGTCCATACAGACAGTAGACACTTTAGGAGATCAGGAATTATTGGATTGGTTTCACCCTGGAAAAATACTAAATGTCTCTAGTCTGTTATCCAGTATGTTATTCAGTTGTTATCCTCAAGATTATTTCAACTAAAAGTATTTGTGGGGACATGTGGAAATCCTATACACTCTTTTCTGCATTTATCTACCCATCTTTTAGGAAGAAGAGCCTCTGAAAATTAAGTCATTCAGCAAGGAAAGGTACGTTAAATGTTAGATTAGTTCCATAGCTACTTAGTGCTTTCTGTGTGAGACAAAAGAGGAACAAAACATCTGCTCAAAATCTAGTCGAGATGAGGCACGAGTAAATGAAGACAGTACAGGTTGAGCATCCCTAATGTGAAAATCTGAAATGTTCTGAGCGTCAACATGACAACTGGAAAATTCCACACCTGACCTCATGTGTCTTATGCACAAAATTATTTAAAATACTGTATAAAATTACTTTCAGGCTATTTGTATAAGGTGTATATGAAACATACATGAATTTTGTGTTCAGACTTGGGTCCGATCCCCAAGATATCTCATTGTGTACATGCAAATATTCCAAAATCTGAAACACTTCTGGTCCCAACCATTTCAGATAAGGGATTAGGGATACTCAACCTGTAATAGGGTAACCTGTAATAGGGTATAACTTTCAGGTGAGGGATAGAAGTTAAGTGATAGGTTGGCATTTTAGCTAGAGCTTTAAGGCTCAAGTTGGACTGGGTCTAGGCAGGAATGTGAGTGACATTTTCTATTATCTACAGACTTAGTGAAGCAGTTTGGATTTTCCAGGTGTTTTAAACAGGGCATTCTGCTTGGATTGAGGTAGGAGGGAAGAAATGACTGACAAAAGACTGTTAATTTCAGTTAATTAGTGGGAGATTTAAAACTGTTGGAATTTTTATTGTGTGTCTGTGTGAACGAGCTAGTAAAAACTCAATTTAATCCCATTCTGATGCCCTGTTTTATGAAAAGGTATAGAACTCAGGCTTCTACATAAAATATTCCAGGTGTTACAGGTACATTTATAATTGAAATGTGATTAAAGAGTAGATGTGGTTAATTTAAAATACACAATTTTGTATTAAACCTTCTTAATCTGTAATTGTGCTTTTTTTTAAAAAAAAAAAATTAGGTCTCAGTCATCACCAGTTCCAGCAGTGAAAAACAGTACTCAACAAACTCAGACAAATACATTACATTTACCACTAAAAAACAGTAACTGTGAAAGACAGAATCTGATCTCAGGAGATAGTCAAACAGAATCATCACGTGGGATTTCTGAACCACCCCATTTTATTCCCTATGTCCGAACAAATGAGATCTACTGCTTTGATCCAGATGCACCATTGTCTAAGCCTTCAAGCCAAGACCCTCCGTACCAAAATTCACAGGGTAAGTATACGTATTCTGCCTGTAAAAACTGAAAATCAGTGTGAACACCCAATCCTAACATCAGCATTCTAGAAAATGTCCTACAAGGTTTGCCCCAGGAGCAATGGAAAGAATCTCTTTCAAGAGTCAATTATTAAAGTTTTTACTGAACATTTTGCTTGGTGCTTTACTTAGGATATAAATTTATTAGTGAATCCTGAGAATACTGTAGCATAGAGCGGTACCATATTTCTAGAAATGTATGTGACTTTTGTCAATTTCATCTGGCTTCAGACTATGACCAAGAAAGACAGCTGTTTGACTCTGGCCATGTCAGGGATCCACTTCTTAATCCTAACTTGGTCAAAAACAGGGATCGACAGCAAGCAATCCTTAAGGGACTGTCAGAACTGAGACAGGTATGAGCTTTTTCAGGTAATATAGATGTGACTGTTCTTTATGTGTGCTAAGTGTTTTAAGTGCCTCGTTGATCATCCCAGTTTATAAGATTAACATATAGGAACAATCTTGATTGGAAGTAAAACAGGACTTGCTTTGGATTTGTTTTCACATTGCCATCTTTGATACTGTATCTTTCCATTTAAAATCATGAGACAGCTCTAATATTAAGACAATTTTATTGAATAAAAAAATGCATACATTGAACAGTAAAACATGATAAGACCCTAAAACCAAAGACAAAAAATACACAATTATGCTTTAATAAATTCTTAGCACTGTGGCTCACACTTCTTCAAAATTTGTTGGCAGTGTTAGAACAGAATATTGATGTCTGTCCCAAAGACTATTATCCAGTATGAAATTATATGTATCAGCTTACTCACCAGACTACTATTTCTCAAACCAATTATTATAACTTCTCATTTTCTTGCTGTCTTATTAAATAGGGAAAAATAGGCTGTGCCCTTTTCCACATCCAGACATTTACCAATGCCCCTCCAGGTGTTACTTACTTACCCGCTTTCCATTTCTAGAAAGAGCTAGAAAAATCCCCACCTTTACCCTTCTTTGTTTTTTTCCCCTTTGCCCATTTAAATACAAGCTAACACAGGGTTACTAAGAAAGTATCCTTTAGGTTTTTAATGCTAGCTTCAGTTAAGATTTTACATAAATTTTCCTTTAAAGTGACAAATGGAGGGCAAGAGGAATATTATGTATGCATTCACCCATCAATATAAGGCCCAGTCTTATTTCAGCAGGGCCCTCGTATCATAGCCACTAAGGTTAGCACAAGTCAAGGTAAACACTGGATAGTAAGGGAGATTCCTTCAGTGTGTCTCCACCATTTTAAGAGTACTTGGGGAGAGGGGAAAGGGACGATTCTTAGCCTCATAGTTTGAGAGACCCGATTGCTGTTGGTTTTTATGCTAAAAATATAATCTTACAAATATATAATAGCTACATAATACCAAAATGAGAAAGTTTAGTGCAAGAATTACTGAAAAAAAGTTTTGAGTGCTAAAAATCCAGTAGGACAAAGATAAAGCTTAGATATGGCCATATAACATAGGAATAATTTGCAAGTTTACTGTACACCTTACTAACATATCGATGTGATTTCAGGGCCTTCTCCAGAAGCAAAAGGAGTTGGAAACTAATCTCATGCCTTTAGCTGCAAATCAAGAAGAGAATTTTAGTTCTTCGTTTTAAATGTAGAAACCAGTCCTTCACATTTGATTTGTGTCTTCCAGATTATGAAATGCATTTTTCAGATAACCTAGATTTTTTTTAATGCTCATTAAAAAACTTGTACTTTATATAGTAAAATTCTATTTTTTTTAATATACAATAAAACACTTTTGTAAAAGCTTAGTAAAAAAATTTTTTTCTGTCAGTTTGGGTATTAAAGTCCTAGAAAACACATTTCTACTTACCTTAAGAGGTTCCTGACCTGTTAACAATGTTTTCACACTTTTTATGTAACTTACAAATCTAAATACCAACTCATGCATTATGTTCTATAGAATGTCCTTTTGAGGTGTCAAAGGCCTATTTGACTACTTAACCCATCTAGACTAATTTTTACTAAAATAATCCAAATTCAATTTTGGCCCCTATTAAATTTTTCTTTTCTCTGAATCCTATTTTTATGACATTCACTGTAGAAACTGCAATTTTCAAAAATATTTACAAGCTTGCATTAGTAATGGAGACACAGTTATTACCAATAAGGCTTGGAATCTGTGACCTTCAAAAGTTTCTAGCATAGCACTAAAGCGCTTAACATGGTAATACTAATTAAGACAGTTCAAAAACATCCATTTTTGTAAGACTACCAATTAGTTTGTTCCAAATTATTCAATGCCTTGCCTATCTTTTGAAATATGAAATTGAATTTTGTTTAACAAAGAATCACATAAGCACTGAAAATTATAATTATCAAATACACTCAAAAAGTTGACCAAGATTTTAGTGACAGGCTACCTGAGAATAAAAAATAATGCTGCTTGATAGTAAGTCCTATGTATAGTTTATTTACGTAAATGAAACTGCACTGTTAGATAAATCTTGAGGTACTGAGCCAAAATTCTGTAAATATTAACATCACTGGCTTATACCTGTGTAAAAACACTATACAAAAACAAAGTAAATACAATAGTTGATTATTCATTTCAGCAAAAGTAGTTGTTTGTATCATCTGACATTAGAGGAAGAAAAGTAAAGCCACTGCTGTTTACCATCTTTCTCCAAACAACTAATTTTACATAAAAAGCAGGCTTCATTTGAAGCCCAGGTACAGGTGACACACAAACTTAAAACTTAAAAGTGCCAATATGAGATAATCCAAGTACAATATGTTAAAAATATATATATATATTTATTTCAATTTTCAGATGCTTCAACTGTTACAGGCCATCATGATTTAAATAAGAAAAAAAAAAAAAACATTGAGAAAGGACAAGAAACCTCTTGTTTAGAGAACGAAATATAAATTGTTAATTCACTTTTAAGAAACAAAGTCCACAAGCAACCTATAAAAAAAAAAAACATTGAGAAAGGACAAGAAACCTCTTGTTTAGAGAATGAAATATAAATTGTTAATTCACTTTTAAGAAACAAAGTCCACAAGCAACCTATAAAAAAAAAAGTTACTATAATTATTTCTCTTTTGAAAATGGCCTGGAAGAATCATTTTTTCCCCAACTTAATGGAGATGGAGATTTATCTCTATCCAAGCTTTGAGTATAAGCAGATAAAAGGTAATTTTCATTTTCTTGAGACTGACTTGATGAAAGTGCATATGGTGTCCCCAAAAATGTCTGATGAGTGAGAACATTAAAATGACTAAACTGATGGGACATATTTAATGGACTGTGATAGACCTGAAAGTTACTATATGAATCTTGTTCTGCTGAATTGCTGTTCTCTCCTTCGGAGCATACCATATCAACAGAAGCTCTCTCTTCAGAATCAATTTGATAAGTCTTATCTTCTAATAAACTTTTTTGCACGTCAAAAGATAACTGCAACTCAATTTGAAAATTCTTTTTTTGATCTGTTCCATGTGATCCTTTGGTCTCTTTCGCCAATATTTCTGAAGGAAAATTGCTGCATACTTCTATTTGTGAGATTTCATCCCCTGAATCCAGAGACATATCCTCTTCATCCTTTTCATCGTTTTCTAAAAGAGCTACATTTAAAAAACAAAAAGTCCTCCTCTATTGAAATACACAATTTGTTTAAGTTTTAAAATTATACACTACTCACACAATATAATGCGTCAGGGTCTGCAAGTCCACAATCCCTTAAAGCTTGGTCTTCTGCCACAAGTTCACTTAGTCACAACACTCACACTAGATGTGAATGTCCAGATACTCCGATGCTAAAAGCTTCTGCGAAATGTGTTCACGTTTAATGTTGGGAAATCCCAACTCCCAGCTCCAAAGGGGTTAATGTCAAAACAGCATCTAAAGTTATACGGTAATTCAGTATTTGACAAGACAAATATGAAATAAAATTTCTGACATCTAGCTTCACTGGATTACTAAACTGGTTAGTTCTACTGAATGTTCGATCATCGCTGCTTTTCATCAAAAACAAAAGTAAGTACACATCTTTCATTTTACATAAAACCTGGAACCAAAGCAGAGGCCATCTCACAGAAGACTAAGTCTATGATATCCCTACTATCTTGGAATTAAATTGCTTTATACATCTTGGGAGATGTAGGAGCCCAATACTAAATCCTCATATCTGGTTTCCTACTTTTTTCTGCTGACAACAGCAGCCAATAAAGCTTACATATCCTAAAAGAGAAAATGCTACTCTATAGTATGCATAGTCTATAAGTAACTCTAATAACCTGTAATGACTACAGTATAATAAATGAGCAGATCCTGTGCATGCTAAGTATCAGAATGATAAACCAATGCCTTGAAATACTTCCCCTAAGGCTGTTTTCAGTGGTTTCGAAATAGGCATTTCATTATGTGATAAAGCAAAACCATTCCTCTTTTTCTGTCTGCCTTAAAGAAAATGAAAGCTACTGAAAAGTTACCTGACTGCGACTCAAGATTCTCATTAGCACCAGGCAGCGGAAGGTTTTCTTCTGTGACTGAGTTGTGATAGCCCACGAGATTTTTAAAGTTTTGCATAAAGTCTTCAGCAGTTGCAACCACTATTCCATTATCTGTATAACTGGAAAGCACCTTTATGCTTTTCTCTAAATTAAAAAACAAAGTTTCATGTATAAGACAGTTGAAAATACATGGACAAATGATGATGCCTGCCCCCAGCCCTCACAAAATCTTTTCCTCCACGTTTCCAGAATCATAGCTGAACAATCAACACCCATCACACAGCCCCACAAAATCCTTTTATCCACATTCCTATTTTCGCAGTAGAAAGCTTAAGAGTGCTCTCTTTACCTGTTAAAAAGACTATGTGTCGCTGCTGTATGTTCTGAGCCTGAAGTCTGATAAGGCAATCCAATTCTGGAGCGTTTCGAGTTTGTGAATCACAATTGTGGTATGACAAAATTTCAACCAGGTGTTTCTTCTGATAGATATTCAGAAGTGTCAGCAGGCTTAGAGCTTTAGCATTCAATCTGTGAAATTAAGCAGATCATTATCTAGATGCACACTTCTAAAATTTAGTATAGAAAATTTTGCCTTAGATTAAAACCATAATTTCTCAATTGAAGCAACTAATGACAACTGCTCTGCTTTGGTTATTGCCTGATGCAAGGGTGCTTCTTCAGAGAGAGGGAGAGCAGGAATTGTGCAACCTACATCTAAGTCTAGGGGTTTTTTGGCACAAGGCTTGAGGGCCAGCAGTTCGGTTTAGGCTAAAATCTCAACCATTCTACTTAATAAATTACAGTTATCTTTAGTTTTACTAATTTCAAACTTTAATGAAGGATATGAAAGGGCAAAAATTATAAATCCTCCTAAAAATAACACAATACATGGCTCTAAGTGCTTTCTATATACTGCAAGACACAAGGCAACAAGTGGTAGACATTACTGGTTGCTGTCAGAAAGATGAGGGTACCAATAACTTTGGGCAAGTTACACCTCGGGTCTCAGTATTGTTATATAAATATAAAACTTGCCCTCTGCCTACTTCACAGGCTTTGAAGATGAACAAATTTTAAAAATGAATTGCTACAAAAAGCTAAACACTTAAATTATTCAAGCCTGAATTTCCTGAAGAGTGTACCACGGAATATCAATAGGTATTATAAGGAATGAGTTCTGTGGTCTAAGTTTAGGAAACACTGACACAATGTACAACAGAATTCTTAGAGTTTCTCAGATCCTTTAATGTATACACTTTACGGACTCTCTACTAGTAGAATATAGTATCCCAACTCATCTGATTACCATAATCATTTGTGGAACATTTCAAGTGACTAGCACTCCAAGGATCACACTTTGAGAAGTGACTTCCAGCCATATTAAAAATCATAAGTGTGGGTATGTGTGTACATATATGTATAAACACTCGATACATATACACACGTATATGTGCGTATATTTATATATAATTTTTTATAAAATACATACGTATATGTATCTATCTATCTATCTATCTATATATATATATAAATGTCCTAATCACAAATCCCTCTACCAGATCAAGATTATTCCTTGTCCAAGTATGTGTGACTTTATTAGCTACCGAAGTATGAACTGGGAGAGGGTCTGATCCATTTGGCACATACAGTTCAGTAAAAAAATAAAAGAATGGTCATTCCATTTTGATTATTATTCTAAACCCACAAGTGGCAAAGATTAAATCAATTGCACCTATACATATAACTAGAACTTCACCAAATATCTATCTAAACATGAATACCACTTCCTCCTAAAAAGGATAAATTAATTCAGTATCTAGAATCCCTTATAGTTGACTATGGACATCTGTGAAAACTAAGCAGCATCCATAATCTGGGAAAAGAAATTTTGTGAGAACAATGTTAAAATCAACAAGCATCATAAAGTTATTTTCCAAGTCTTACCTGCCCTGTTCCTTTAGTTTTTTCTGAAACTTACAGTGGACTTTCCATTGCCATTTTCCTTCTGGAGTACTAAGTTCCTCAAGGAATGTCAAAAAATTTTTAAGGTTCTCTGTTAGAGATAATGAAGTTCGATTTTAATTCAATAAATAAGTCACTCCACAAGTGAATTATGTAAGAAATGCTTGTCATGTTATGTAGAAACACTTATTTTCCTATGTACCATTTTCACTCTTTTATCCCCCTCTGAGAGACAGAAATCTATATATCCTTAAAGCTCTAAGAGCATAACATTTACACTAAAAATGAAGATCATGTTGATGACAATAACAATACCAGAAGTGATCCAAGTGTAGCAGGTGCAGCAAGCCTTGCTTTATACCACACTTAAAAGAATGGAAATAAATTTGAGGTAATAAAACTCAGGAAGATTGAAATGTGTTATCTATAAACGGCAGAATAGATGTATAATACATTAAAAAGTATGAGTCACGTGTTGTTATAGTTTTTCACTAAAAATCTAAAAAAAAACAAATTACATCCTCAAAAGAAAGTGTAAATCTTACCAATTGTCACCAAGTCTGGATTTAGAATTGATTCGTCAGACACAATAAAACCTCCAGATACAAATAATTCATTGTATGTATGATTTTTAACATCATCCAGGCTATCAACACCAGCAAAACTAACGCAGGAGAGTTTTTTCAAAGTCACCAAGCCAGGTACCTATTTAAATGCCAAAATAAAAATAGAAATAAGGATGGATAAGGGGGTGAAATAAGACTCAAGTGTGAAGTAACCTACAAGAAAAGTCTGACAAAATGCACTATGGCTCATCTATATTAGTGCACTACCTCTGGAAAGCCACACACAAAAATAATATTCCCAACATTATTTCCCAGTATATAAACTAACATTTATGCACTGGGACCTATCGTGAACACCAAGGAAAAGCAGTTTACAGTACACCTGAACACACAAAATGGACAAATGTTAACCTGTCTGGAACCTGTGAGTATATAGAATTCAGATGAGGACAAGAGCCTACATGCTAGAACAGTCAGGAAAGGCCTCAAAAAGCAGTAATACTTGAGGTAGGCTCATAAAACTTGTTGGGGTACTTCCAAATCCAAGAGAAAAGGGGATGGTTTGAGAAAGAAGAGGGGGCACAAATAGGTTTTGCCTGGGACATACAAATGAAGATAAGAATATGAAGAGAGGCAGCAGACCCAGTGGTCTGCTGGAATTCAGTACTTTCATTAGCCTTGACTACTTGAGTGATAGGGAAAATCTGTGATGTGTAGCAATTTAAAATTCTGCAGAGGTATAAACTTGAATCTCACAAGCTGATTCATGGAAGAAGGGTCCGTGTTTTATCTCCTTTAAAGCTTATTTTAAAAACAAAAGCTTTAGTCTCAGACAGTAAATTTAAAAATAAAGGAGTTTTTAAAAACCAAAATAAGTAGTGAATTTGACTTAATTAATGGTCTACCTTGTGAATGAAACCTGCAATGTCTTCATTTTGAATAATAATCAATAGTTTATCTAATTTTGATCTTCTTTCCAAAAACTGTTCTGGATGACACTCTGTATTGCCTAATTTGATAAGATATTCCTGTTAAAGAAAAACAACTAAATCAATATTAAAAAGCTTTTTTTGCAAACATGAATTTACACCAGAAATGCAAGATAAACTGATAAGTTTTACTACTACTAGAATGCTATTAACAATGAAGTTATACTCTAAGAGACCTCAAAGATCATCAAATCTACTCTTACAGAAGAGGAATCTAAAGGTCAGAGGTTCACCAATCACACAGTCAAAATGTTACAATGCTATGCAATCACAAGTAAACGACAGTATGGGGTAACAGAAAGAACCATAAAAACAATGGATTAGCCCAGGTTCTTAATCCAGCTTCAGTAGTTGTTATGGGGAACCCAGAGCCCAATCATTAACCACTTCCTTGCTCCCATTTTCCTTTCCTTTCCTGTCTTAAGCATGCCCTTGGTTATTTGCAGCAATATTACTGGATAACTGCAAAACACTTTTACAACCACTGTAGCTCATTTAAATCACAACAGCTCAAAAAGCATTCATATAGAGATTCAGTATACAATGGCATTCACATACTAATTAGCCATTTCTGTCAAGTCTATATCTTCAAGCAAAGTAGACTCTCCCATCTATTAGCACAACCTCCATGCTGGTAATATAGTACCTTTCACAAGACACAGGTAACTGGCCATGTAGAGTTCCCCTTTGCTCTTTACTTGCTAATGAAATCCTAACCCCTGAAGCAAACTATTCGATCCTAGAGGTCATGTTCCTCATTTCACAAGTATAGGAGATTAATTTTCTCTAGGTCAGCACAGCTAGTCACATAGCCATAATCAAAATCCAGCTTGCCTGACAACCAGTCCACTGTTCTTCCAAGAGCAGCCTGAATATCACACCCAAAGAGGACCTTTTTGTGTAGCCCTAAACTAAAGCAGAATCTTCACTTTTGCTCTAAGCTCTGAAGCTTCTGGACAGATCTCAGACCAGTCTACAGAGTTGATGAAAAGGTAAATTACTGTCTGACAGGCCCACTGACTATTTTTGGTCTGTCTTTTTACATTAAGAAGCTTTACATGCAAGTTCATTTTAGATAAGAGAGTTTAATTCATATTAACAACAAATCAGTTTGACTCCAGTTAGACTTCTACTCTACTGTTTAACATTTTTGCTAGAAATTTTCCAAAGAATATTGATTAAAAGAATTAAAGTTCCAATGTATTTTCCTATCAAATTTGCAAAACAAAAAGTAGTCTTTTATTCTATATAAATAATAAAAGAAATATGATTTGTTTTATTGCCAGTAATTAAAAGCACCACTCATAAGGAAGTAAGTGCACTTTCCACCCCCTCACTCTAAATGCAACATAGGTGTGTTACAATTCATTTTAAAAAGAGGGTGGAGGGACATGGAGTTACGCTGCACACACTGAGAACTGGGCTCAACCTACTGATTCATCTAGCCCCACACCAACATGCAGCTATGCCCCAAAGAGTACTGTGCTTGGGAACATACTGCTAGTGGTGGGAAAAAGTTGAGAAGCTCTATATTCAATCATATAGGGCAAAAATGCAACCAAGGAATTCCTAGTAAGTTTGGTTTCATCTTCCCAAGATACCATAAGAATCAGTAAGGAAAGCACAACTGACTACTCTGATTCTAATTTCCATGCTCTTCATGTCCCCCCTGGGTACACCATACAAAACATGATGAAATCAGTAAGACCCCCAAACTGACAAAAGGCTTAGGACATCAGTAGTGCTGAATTTCTGGGCTACTCGGGGCTGTAAGTGTCACTTATTTATAATATCTCTGCTTCCTCTAACAAAACAGGCAGAAACTCCGGTCACGGTAATTAAATTCCATAAATGGGAGCAGGCATTTATTTTAAAACCCTAGACATTCCCTTAACAAATTAAAATCCTATAGTTTAGTGAATACTAATTAGTAATATTAAACCACTGATTTCAATGTGTTGCCATTTACATATCTGTTAAAATACATGTATCTGTATCTATACCTATACACACACATACACATAGGCTTTTGTGTTTTGTTTTTCCTGTTCTGTTTTTTTTAAACCAAATACCTGAAACATTAGTCTGCTCTACAGCTTCAGTAGAAAAAGTATACATTTACAGTGAGAAATCTTTAATGATTAGGGAGTCTTTCAGGATTATCAAGTTTTTTGATCAATAAGGACTGTACAGAATCATGAAATGGCCAGGATATCAAGAAATGCCAAGAGTATATCAGTAGGCCATCGCCGGAGAGCTGTTTTTCGATTTGATTGATAAAACCCCATATGGCAATTTACTTTACCTCTCTGTATTTTCCCCTCCCCTTCATTAAAAACCCAAGAAAGAAACATTTAAAACCTTTGAATCAACAGTTTAAAGGTATTTTCATCCCCCTACTAGCCAGCTGCCAAAATATAAATAAATTAAATTAAATTAAGGTATTTGTAGTATGTATATAAATGTTCTTTGAAATGACACTATAAAACAAGATTCTAAATTCTAAGATATTTAGATCACAGATTCTGAATCTGGTTGAACTTATCAGTCTTTTACTCCATTCTGAGTTACTAAATTATGAAGAGATATGTTCAACAACATTTAAAAACAAAAAATTCCATTTTATACAGGTCAGATCAACAAGACAAGATTATATAGCATTACCATTACCTTCTTGTTTAGTTACCTTTATTTCTTTACAGAGCACACTCTCTTCTTCTTCATGAATATAAAATTTCACAGTATTTTTCTGGACATCTTTCATGATTTTTACCAAACTGTTAAATACTTCAGGTTCTAACTGGCTTATAAAATTTGAAAGAGCTGGTTGTGCAGAAATGTTTACATCACTGGGCGATTTTGTTGTTTCTTTTTCTTCTGGTTCCCGAGCAATATCACCAGGTACAGTATGATTGGAAGTCACAATTAACTCTGCAGTGTGGTGTGGCTGGTTCATTTCTACTTCGGTTAAACTCAAAGTTGAAGGGGAATGCTGCACATTAGAGTTGGTGTCTTTCAAAGCATCACTACAAAGTGGCTCAAGGAGGTGTTTATTGTTGAAGTCACTTGAGGAAACTGGCAGGACGTGCCTCTCGAGAGGATTCAATGCTATCTTACTACGAGAATCATTAAGACTGACTGAAGGCAAATTCTCACCCTTGGCTGAGGCTTTAATAATAATAGTATTTAGTTTCTCATGCAAGCCATCGACAAACTCCTGCACACCAGCTTTGGAAGTCTTAGAATATATGAACTCAGAAAGCCGTTTCATCTTCTCTTGTGTTGAAAAGATAGGTGTGGAAATTCTACTGACATATGAAACATTCTTTTGCTTCAAAATCTCTTCTATCTTCCTAGAAAAGAGACTGTACTCTCCTAAAACTGTCCTCTCTGTGGTTTCACTCATTGCAGGCTGCTCTGCTGCTGGCACACACTGCTCCTCCACTGTCACCACCTGACCTGTCAACACGACATCCTCAGTGCCCTTTCGTGTGTCTGTAAATGGAGAGGATGGAAACTGGTAATCAGAACTTCTCTGTCTACTTATTACCCTGGGGTCGTTAGGAAAGGCCTCCTTTGGTGGCAGACACACCAGTTGTTCTTCTGGTGATTTCATACCTATACAGGAAGAGTTCATTATTATAAGAGCAATCCAAAAAGATAACATCTGAAAACATAAACTCTTAAGTCAGAAAAAAAGTCAGGTCACTTACACACTTAGAACTAAGTACACACTGGAAGGTAAAATAAAAACTTCGAATACTGGTGTGATCCTTATAGGAAACAGCTATGTGCCCTACTTATGGGCTAGTCTTTGGATTTCAGGAACTACAGTAACAACTTTGAATGTTATTTTCTTTGGTTTCTTTTGAAGTGCTCAAACAAGCGCCAATTTGGCATCAATACAAATTAAGTCATTTGTTTACTTCTGCTTCCCTACCATTTTGTAGGTCTGACTTTAATAGACCTGTTTTAATCAAAATGGTCAGATGCATTAGCTTGCTTAACCCTTATACTCTTTGCCAAGTAATGTTTACTATGGTCATATACCCTTGACATGAGAACTGAGTGTAAGGCAACTGAAAGAATACCAAACAAAGATGCTGTGGGAATAAACACCAAATTAATAAGACATGCATTGTAGGATCTAGGATAATTAATTTTATCTGCTTTCAAACTTGCTCTCACATACCAGGATATTCACAAAGCTCATGGAAAAATAAAAGTGAAAGATAATACAAATCTTTCCGTGAACTTCTGAAGTACTCTTTTTTTTTTTTAATTTTTTTTTTTTTCCCTTTTTGTCTCTTTTTTCGTGACCGGCAACGGATCGCAACCCTCAGTTAATTTTTTTTTTTTTTCCCTTTTTGTCTCTTTTTTCGTGACTGGCAACGGATCGCAACCCTCAGTGTCGCGCCCATACCGGACTGGGACTGGCAACGGGATCGCACCCCTCGGCGTTGCGCCTGCACCTCGCTCAGCCAGCGAGCGGCCGGTCTGTATGTGGGATCCGAACCCTCGGCAGGAGCGCCACCACGCTTCCCAAGCGGCGCACTGTAGCAGTGCGCCACCGGGCCGGCCCCTGAAGTACTCTTGTATGGGGTTGCTAAATGGATTTCCTGCAATGTTAGGGACTTCATTTTATCAGGAAATAAAGGCTCAATTAGACAGGAAAAGAACATATTTCACAGCTGCATTAACAGTAACATCTTTGTTTATTTTATCTGGAAACAATTTCAAAGAAAATCAGGATAGCTTGACTACCCCCACTTGAGATAAAAGGTCATTCAGTTAGCTGAAGCTAATGGGAGTACAACCTTTGACTCTTGACAACTAGCTCAATCCACAAGGCCATTTTTTTCATCACAAATCCTAAATTCAAATGCTATGTTTTTTAAACTACATTTCAAAACAGATACCCTAAATTCATTTTAAGAAACAAGGAGAAAGTGTATTTAATTTACAGTAATATTCTATTTTAGGAACAGAAAAAATTCATGATCTTTGCCTAGAAGACCATAATACACAATTTTAACTTTTAAAAAATTACTCATTTCCCGTAAGCTTTATCCAACATTTCAGGAAAGACCATAATACACAATTTTACCTTTTAAAAAATTACTCATTTCCCGTAAGCTTTATCCAACATTTCAGGACATGGTGCCTCTAAGTGAGAAAGTCCAGGTACAAGTAAAATTTTAAAACCTAAACTATTTTAAAGACATGGTGAATTCCCTATTCAAGTTTGTACCTGGTGTAACAGCATGTCTTTTCTACACAGAATTCAGTTTTGATTTTCTCCACACTCACACTTTTCTAAAGGTTTAACAACAGCCTCATCAGTGGTCAGCCTGTGACATTTTCTACCAATCCCAGTGGTTATGACATTTTCTACCAATCCCAGTGGTTACCATGAACCACTAGACTCATTAACTACTGCAAAGGCCACTTGTCAGCATAGTAAAAATACCACAGCAGATCCGTAGGTAGAAATGAGAAGGGGAGCAAAATATCCTGTGGGCAAAGATAAGAACTATAACTATATGAAACTGACAAACCAGAAAATTTAAGTTCCATAAGATTAATTCAGAAACACTGAATGTCCTGTATATACTTCTTATATCTGCAACATTAAAGCGGGGTTTAGTAAACATGTAAAATGTCTAGAAGGGTACATTAGAAATTGGTAACAGCGATTGATGTATTGGGGGGAAACTAAGTGTCTGGAGCTAAGGGTAGTAGACTTACTTTCTGAAGTATTTTTGTATTTCCTGAATTATACTGTACCATGTCATACATCTGATTTAGTCAAATAAAAAGTTTCGAATTGTATCTCATCAAATAAATGGGTTGAGGAGGACTACCTGTAATTTAAAAACTTCTGAATTATTTATTATGTAAAATAAAATATTTGCTCCTAAAATATATAGCATAAACATCAGACCAATAAATAAACATCAGACCAACATGCTTATTCCTGAAAGGCTACACAGAACAAAGGGGATTTTTTAAAGCTGAAATGTTAACTTAAATCCATATGGAGAATTCTCCATATCAAAAAACGCTAAACCAAATAAATCACTTTTTAAAATGTAAATAATCACCACCTAATTTTATCTTGCACAAATTTCCCTGTATGATTTCATTAAAATCAACATTAATAAATGACTTAAAAGAACAAACATGTCAATATCCATACTAATGTATGTTTTTTTACTAATTGTAATTAAAACATTGCAGTATTTTGACTTAAGTGAGAGAGGAGTGATGAGTTCTCTACGGGCAGAATCATTGAGATATCTATACTTTTGGTTACAAAATATGAAGACGGCACCCCAAATAAGAGGAATGGAGATGCTGATGGAGTATTTTGAAGTATAAACAAGATACTTGCTATTCCTAATGAGAAAGAATTACCGATAGAAGCAAAACATGAATGAATCCCTGACATAATGTTGAGTGAAAGACCCAAACACAAAAGAGGACATATGTAAATTCCACTTATCTTAAGTTCAAGAACAGGCAAAACTAATCTATGATAAAAGAAGTCAGATTAGTGGCTCTTGTTGGAAACAGGGAAAGTACTGACTGAGAAGATGCAGAAGAAAATCTTCTGGGGTGCTGGAAATGTTCTACATCTTGATTTAGGTAGTGATCACTTCAGTGCATACATATGTAAAATTCCACTGAGCTGTACACTAAAGATTTGTGCACTTTCCTGGATATTATTTATCTGTTCTTGTTTTTTGTTTTAAATCATCTTTTGCTAAGAGGAGACAAAGATTTTCTTGAAGAGAGCTACTAACAAAGTTTTTTTTAATTCTCAAAGGAATCACTATAAAGATCTACTAAGAAAATCATTTTGCTCCTTCCTAATTAAAAACAAAAACAAAAAACCCCAACATATTAGATTTCTGAAAGAGTAAGATAGAACAAAATGAAGATGGGCAATAAAAAAGACCACCACCAAATTCTAAGAAAACAATGCCTATGACCATCTGCAGGGAAGGTGAATTGATTGAGCTCAATTAAAGGAGACTGTCTCCTAGGCACCCACTGCAACTAGCTAATCAGTAATATCTGTGTTTCTAGACTCCAAAAGCTTCTTAATCTCTTATTTAAACTATGCAGAAATTAGCTTCACAAGTAGAAGAAGAACTGGGTTAAAAAATGCAAGATTAGGAATAGTGTACCTAAAAGATAAATGATTTTACAACCTATTTTTTTAAATTTAAAAGAAACTTGAAGACTGCTTTTCACAGACTATCCTGCAAAAATGGATTAGGAAAATATTCTTGTCTTTCCAAATCATCATATCAGACAGAATCTACTGTGGGTGAAGAAAACTTAAACTCTATGCATACTCAACAACTTCTTTGAACATTCCTTATAGTAAGAATATTTGATACAACTCAGTTAATAATTTAAATATAAATACGGTATTGTCCAAATTTTCTGTAATTAACAGAATTTAAAGCAATGCCCTATTGATGGAGGACCAGAAATGCAAGTAGCAATTCTGAAGAAGGGCACATTGGGAAGAAAAGCAAAGACAGCCTTCTCACCTGGTGTTTGTTTCTCACCATGTTTCCCCAGCTGGTCTTCTGGGCTTCTTGCATTCCCTCCTGAGGGAAAGCATCCATTAGATTTGTAGATTCTCTTCAGATATCAGTGATACCTCTTACGTACCTTTCAGACAACCCCAAATGCTAACAAATTCAAGTACTCCTTCCTTTGCCTAAAATATTCCTGAAGGGTCATTCAGAAATAGGAAATTGTTTCCCTTCCCATTTTGGTAATGGTGGAATATAAAAACCTAGATAGATATTGTGCCTTCACATGGCTCTCAACACCAAGTATGAATGTTATCTAAGTGAGAAATGGTATCTTGTATCAACCACTTCCCTACTGTTTCTCCCACTCAAGCTGATGTTTCTAGCTCATAAAAGATTATCAGTTCCCTCTCTATCATCACTTGCAGGCCTCTCACTCTCTCCAATAATGTACTAAAGTGAGAAGATGGTGCTGAAGCCCATGGAAACTCTTCAAGTTTTAGAAATCCTTCTCAGAGTCCTTGGAGGTCTCACTAGGTTCTAGGTCACAAGCCAGTCTACTTTTTGGCAAAATGTTGTATTTTTCTTTTTAAGGGTTAAATAAAGGTATAGGAATGGAAAAGATAATGCTCTGGAAATATCTCCAAAGAATGTTTAGCTAACAAAGATGAATAAGAACTTGGAATATTAAGAGTGTGTATTTATAAGTGTATATATGTATGTGACTGCACAGAGAAATTAGAATACTGCAAAATGATTGCTATACTATTCTCATCCCACGGTTCAGTAAGCTTTCTTAGGATATTTGCATTTGATCATTTCAGGCCATTCTCTAAGATGATCCAATTTCGTTAAGATAATCCAATATTGAGAAATCAAATCTCTTTCAAACGGATGAGCCTCAATGTAACTGTTTATTAAATGACAGCTTGTTATAGTGAAGTTTACTCTAAGTTGAGAAAAACAGCACTTAATTGGATGCCCAAAGAACATCATTTCATCTATGTAGCTACCTCATGTTATCAGAATCTGTTTCTGCCAACAATTTTCATTTGGAAGTCTTCATGCTAAACTCCACAGGGACAGTTAAGTATGTCTTAAATTTCTGTTTTTAATAGGCCTTTTTGTAGGTACTTGCTGGTACTGACCAAGAACAGCAACACTCAATGATGGACATTATGTTGCTCAAAATAAGACACTGTAGATGCCAGAGATGAAGCACCCAGTGACCTGAGAGTGGAGACTAGAAAAGATGACATTTTCCCAAAGTAAAACAAAGCAAACCTAAGTCCTAGTATACTTTTTCTCACCTGTAATTGGAATCAGTTTCCAATGTATTTCAGTCTCTTCAACATTATTTGACTTAGACTGTTGTCTACAGAATCCATGTTCAATGGGAACAGTGGGACACAAACTGCAATCTTCAAAATTATTCATACTAATTAAATCTGGATCCTAAAAATTAAAGTACACATTCAATAGTTTTCTTTTCAACTAATTTTAATGTTATTTTTTTCACAGCAAACTCTCAAGGTTCAATCTAAACATTACAAATGAATAAAATCAACATAATGAAGTTATAATACTTTAGTTTCAAAATTAAAACACAACTTTTCCCTCAACACATAATTTAATGTTGATTTAGAGCAGGAATTGGTAAACTTTTATGGTAAAGTGTGAGAATAGGCAGTGGGTTGGATTCAAACCATGCCTCCTCAACCTAATTTAGAGTATTCAAATACATCAGGAAATATTAGTACAGGTTAGTTCCTCAGTGCCCGCCTAACACAACTCACCATATTAGCCCCCTGCCATTATCTTCCTCCTAAAACAAATATCCCAAAACTACACAGAGAAAGGCTGAGGACATGCCTATGATTTTTATTCAAAGGCAGGGAAGAGAAAATGAGACAAAGAATAAATCAGAAATAAGCTCTTAGGAATATGGTGCCATCCTGGTATTATTCCCCAGTGATGCAGACACTTCTTAAGGGAGACTAGGCTAGTTCACAGCTAGTAATCAGTACTCTAAGCACAATCATAAGTAAACTGGATGCCCTAATAAGCAAGGCTGAGAGTCACTTTAGAAATAATCCTAGAGACCTGTCATCTTCCATTCCTGTTTGTGTGAGAAATACCAAGTACCTAACCATGTTTATAACACTAGTGCACTGAGTTCAATCACCTCATATGCCTCACCCTTTGGGTTCTCAAACTGCTAGCAGAAAGCCAATGCTTTGAGGAATCAATTTTATTGTGGAACAGTATGAAATGAACTCCCAATAAGCCATTTCAGACAAATAGATTGTCCAGCCTTAGCTTTATCACAACATGTAAACCTTACACTACACATTAAGCCTATAAGGGAGAAGGAAAACAACTACTTTAACATTTATCTCTTGGTAATGGAATAACTTAGAAGCACCATCCTGGACAGACACCTTTACTCATTTCTTTATGAAAGGAAAAAACCACTCCCTGAAGCATACCCACACCATCTCTTTCACACACACATTCACAAAAGCAAACATAGATTAACCAAGACATATGCTTACTTCTTTCAAATGCAGCTTATGGTCAGTGCCTCCTTCACTGGTAGAAATAGCAACAGGATACTTTAAAGATGCTGTATCGACTTCCAGCAATGGGCTCTGAGTGCCCTTAAAATGTGCATTTTCAATTTTTACACAAGTAGACTGTTCATATTCTTTCTTATTTGGAGTAGAGTTCAACTCATACTTTTGCCTCAGCTCTTCATAGGCATCATCAGTACTCAATCCCAAAGCTTTGTTGACTGTGTCTGTCAGGGATGCATCAGAATGGCGTGCATTTGCTAGTGTTTCTGACAGCCAATTAAACAGCCTATGAATGTCAGCAACACCGGAGTTACAGGTATCCTGCTGCTGCTGTCTCAAGTCACCATCATGCACAAGTGAGCCAATAGGCTGTGGAGACTCTGAGAAGAAAAAAGAGAGAGAAGTCATCTCTTAAAGTTTGAAAGCTGGTATAAAAATTTTTTAAAACAAATATACATTAAAAAATTAATTATCCTAAGACATTTATGTGCAAGAACTCAATCAAATAACTGGCTCAGATTTCACAATCATACCCATCCCTTACTTCACAAATATAATTGGTTCTAAAATTTTGCAAAGGTCAAAAATCCTATTATAGTTAACTATCATCGTAACTTAAGCATTCATTATAACTTAAGCTCATGCATCAAGTTGTAAATATGGATTATATTAATAACATACTGTAGTTACCTTACACTCTACCACCAAAATTCCAAAGTCAACCAGGTGTTTAACAACAAAACATCTGCACTTGCTATTTTGCCAACTGGTAGGAGGATATGCAATTACATTTAAATCTAATAAAAAAAAAACCCATGACTTACAAAAACAAAACAAAAAAATCCATGATTTATTTTGATTTCTATCTTCTCCATACCTATTATATTTTGTCCTCAAGGCACTGGATAACATTCTTAAAATAAGCCTCATCTTAAATGTCTAGATTACTCAAATTCATAATGAAGCCAGGATATTAGAGATACAAAATCATCCTGAAGATATTTCTGCCAAACTTGTACCAAGAACAAAAAGCACTATGAGAGAAACTATGTTAAGACATGGCTCCAACCAGATATAAACCTGGGTAATCTGCACAACCAATATTGGCTTGTCCAATATTGCAAAGGCAAAGGGGGCAGACATTTATAAAGTCATGTGCTTTAATGCTAGGGTGGGGGATAGGGGTGGGGTGAAGCCTAAGTAGATGTTAGGATTTCCAATTTAGGAAGGGTATAATGTACCACAGTAAAAACAAAAGTTAAAAACAATGGAGTATATACTGTATAAATCTAATTATATGAAATTATAGAGCAGGCAAAACTAATCTACAGAAACAAAAAGCAGATCAGTAGCGTGTTGAGGTTAACTACAAAAGAGCACAAGACAACTTTTGGGGGTAATAAAGATGATCTATATTACAGTGATGCTCACACACCTGTCAAAACTCAAACAGTATGCTTAAAAATGGGTACAATGCATATAAATTACACCTCAAAAAAGTTGATATTAAAAATTAAAAGTGGGGGCGATGTTTAGGAAGTTACCACTTACGAGTGGGTTCACCATCAAATCAAGATCAGGGTGTTTTAAAAGTTAGAATACAATCTTGAAATCTCTACTTTCAAAAACAAAGTGTGCAAAATGACTAAAAAGAAAAAAGTAAGAAACACCTAGAAATACAAGTCTGACTGTCACTAGTTCTAGTTTAACTCATCTACCCTTCTTCCCCCACCCCCATTCTCCTTTGGTCTGTTGTAATTAGCATGGCTTTCCCACCATTTTAATTACTGATGAGGCTGATTTTCACTCACAACTATTTTTTCACACACACAGAATTAGTCAATTACCAGCTAAAATGGTACCAAAAAATAAGTCATCTTATTTATTAACTACCTATTATATGCTCAGTGCTAGGAAATACAGTACAGTTTAGTAACAATGCTTTGGAATCAGTCAGAACTGAGTTTAACCATGGATCCTGCCACTAACTACATAACTTCAGGTAAAATTCTTCAACTTATCTGAGATGACTTTCTTATCTGAAAAATAAGGATAATAATGCCTACCACTCAAAAACTAAATTAACCCAAATGTATGAGGGTACTTCAAAAAGTTCATGGAAAAATTCATACATCTTTTAATTCTATTTTCCCATGAACTTTTTGAAGTACCCTCATATAAAGCACCTAGCACATAGTCTTAAACTCAAGACACAGGTCAACAGTATAAGATAGTATGTTATCAGTAAGTGTCAATAGATTCAGCACAGATCACAAATTCAGCATAAGCTAAAGAATATAGACACCATCAAGGAGCAGAACAGCCAGAAGGCTGAGGAGGGATGAACTGCAAAGATACATGGCTTGAGAGAAATGGAAGATGCTTCAGGAAAAAAGAAAGAGAAGCTAAGGACCGACCATGACATATTCTTGGGAAAGAAAGATGGGCCTTAATCTAAGAGCATGTGAGAGAAGAGTGGGAAACATGGCTGAACATGGCCAGTCTGTAACAAAGCCTTCAAGGGCAAGTAGAGAAGACGACACTGGAAGCAAATTAGCAAAGCAATATTGAGAATATGATGCTGAAGTGAGCAAAAGAAAGTAATAAGCCAGGAAGGCCACTAAGGAGATAAGAACATGGACAAGGATGACAACGTTGGAAAGAAAAAGAGACACAAAGGTCAAGTAAAGAAAAAACCCTGAATGTTAATGCAGAGAAAGAACAGCACTATCAAATAGATCTTCCTGCAATGATGGAAATGTTCTCTAACTGTACTGTTTAACACAGTGGTGGGGCTGGTGAGATGGTTTTATTTCATTTTAATTAAACTTAAATAACATGGCTTATGGCTACCATATTTGATAGCACAAGAATAAAAGGAATAAAGGAGAGAAGATAAGTGAAAAGGATAAAAATAAAGATTGCTAAGGGAACAAACGTGTAATAAGGACAATGACCTGACTAATCTCAACAGATTGAAAAGAGACAAGTAAAATCGCTTAATAAGACACTGAGAAATACTCCTATCTACCATAATCAGTAAGAACAGCATCAGCAACACAAAATGTAGATTGTTACATCAAAGGTCCCTGAATGCAGAACACATCTCATGCTTATAGACTAGCAGTGTCAAGATCTTAAAAAATCTAGATGACAAAAATGTTTTTAACTTACTTGCAATATTGAAACAAACACACTTAAGGCAATGATCTCCCATTTGTCTTTTCCTGCTGACTAAAACAAAACAAAGCAAAGAAAAAGAAAAAGCCAAAGATTGCTGGATTCCTGGGGTGGAAATGAATATGCGTATGCATCCAAGAAATTTTATTTTAAAGCAATATTGAAACAAACACACTTAAGGCAATGATCTCCCATTTGTCTTTTCCTGCTGACTAAAACAAAACAAAGCAAAGAAAAAGAAAAAGCCAAGGATTGCTGGATTCCTGGGGTGGAAATGAATATGCGTATGCATCCAAGAAATTTTATTTTAAAGCTCAGAAGGTTTTTCTTTAAGCAATATCTGAGAAGAATCCAGTATTCTAATGTTGTACTTCCCCAATTATAAAAATAAAGGAATATAACAGGACAGGAGCTCCAATTAGTAGGATGATAGCTAAGTATACTTTGTTATCTCAGTCTAAGCCAAACAATTCAGAAATCTGATGTACCAGGGCAGGAGTTGGCAAATGTTTTCTGTACAGGACCAGACAGTAAATATTTTAGGCTTCATGGGCCATAGTCTCTGTCCCAACTCTGCCATTACAGCATGAAAGTAACTATATACACATAAATGGGCATGGCTGTATTCCAATACGACTTCCTTTAAAAAATCAGGGAACAGACTGGATTTGGCCCTCAGGCTTTAATTTGCAGACTCCTGTATTACTGGAAAGAAGAGAACTACTTTACTACATTTTTGGTTGTTATTATGAGAGCAATCTGATATTTTACCTTCATACAGATGGCAATTTTCAGATAAATTACTGGTTTTGGCGAGCTTTCTCATATTTTCAGGTAGATCCTCAAGCTTCCTCTTCAAGACAGTTTTACTTCTCATATCTTCTGTGTCTGAGTCCCCACCCACATTTTTTTTCCTACACTGAATTAAATTAATCAATTCTTTGACTCTATCCTTATCATAATCCAAAGAATGAGATGACTTTTGTTTTCCAGGTGTAATAGTTTCACCCCTTGAGTTATTTCGTTGTCCAAATTTCATTTTTGTACCATTCATTTCTTCTTCTTGACCTTCATAATCTGAAAGTGGACTAAACTGTTGAGGTTTTCTATTTTCTTCAAATAGCTCTTTTAATTTACAAATAGATAACTGATACATTTCAGGCCGAAAAATATAGGTATGCAAGCAATCATCAATATGGGATTTATGTTTTGGAGCTGAGTATAAGAATTTTTTATCATCTAATCGTGAATCATAGGGAAACATGATAAACTCTCGTTTACCTGAACCAAAACCTCGCTTAAAAAATTCACTTACATACTTTCCAACAACAGAATGAAAATTTATAGTGTTTATATTTTTGAATTCCTTTCGACACTGAATCAAAGCAAATTGTAAAAATTGAGCTATTTTCAATACATCTGGCATGTTCTCATGCCTCTCCTGTGGTGCTGCATTGGTTGGACCTTTTTGTGCTGCAAATAAACAAACAACAAAACAAAACAAAAAGCAAACCATGTTAGCAATCAAGAAACTAATCAAATACAGATCTACATATTGTCAAAGTGTAACATTTATATATTAATGTTGACCCAAATGAGTTTGTACCCTAATACATACAAGTCTATGTACTATAGCAAATATATGAATAGTATAACTTGTAAGACCAGGAGCCTAAAATGGCCAATAAGAAAATAAAACAAATGAAAGAGCAGAACATATTTTTAACAAAAAAAAATCCACTATTAAAAGATCTTCATTTCCTACTGTCCCTAAGCAATTCAAATGCTGGCAAGCAAACTGTAAGGAGAAATGAAAAGGCAGGGCAAGATCTGTCCTTCAAATGATAGCAATGTCACTCCTTCCTCTTATAAAGTAGCAACTTTAATTTCCCATGAACTCTCTTCCCCATAAGCAGATACCCAGGCACTAATTAGCCACAGTTGAGAAATTCATCCTTAATCCAACAGTGAACCTCACTAATAGGAAATTTACCTACCATAGTATTAAGTCTGTTCTTAGAAAGGTGAATAGCAAATTTTCTCTAACATCAGTACCAAAAATTCCTATTAATTTTGAATGACCTAATATTTAACCTGGCACATGATGCTCTATAGTCACTAAAATCTGAATGCAAAAATGAAGCTAAAAAATAATCACATAAAACTCTCAAAAACTAAGCTATACTATTGTAATAATTACAAACTTCATTAGTGAAAGCAGTGATAAAACCCAAATAATTTTTCATAGTTAAAAAAAAAAAGATCACATAATTTGTGCTTTATACTAATACCTCTTAATACCCCAGGTATTTCCCAAAACATGATGCAGGAAAGAAAAAATGCTTAGTGAGTTATCCAGAAAATTTTAATAAAATGCAGTTATCTGTAAAGTAACTATATTTAGATATTCAAAGAACTTACAAGTAACTATGCCTCTAGGTTCTTGAAACAGAAACAAAGCATGTAGAACTCGAGACTTGGCAGTCTGATGTTCTAAAAAACAGAAGTCAAATTCATTAGCAATGTATTTTAACTAAAAAGTTAAAAAATAGTTGTAAAAATTAAAGACAGACACCTACCATATGGAGAAACCATCTGATAAGGAGAGAGAAGAAAAAGGTATCCTCGGTCTCCCAAAGGTTTAACAAGAACCTGCATTTTTGGGAGAGGGAAGAAGTTGTATCTGCTTTATTACTACTCACAAGGCAGACACACAGCACTTTCTACTAATTGTAAAGAAAAAAAGTTCTTGGTTATCTTTTTAGAAAAAATATTGCTACTCAGTTAAAAACCCTTTCCACCAACTCTGCTGATTAACAGGATTCCAATCAAATAAAAATTTCTTAGTTTTCATAACATTAACAACAGAATGTTATTGAAGAATTCTCCTAATTAACTGTGAAACTAACCTGTTAATTTTTCCATTAAGCCAAAATACAAGGACCAAACTAAAGACTTCAAATATTTTCCTCATTAATTCAAAAGACATGCTATTAATTGTCAAGGCAGTGTGCTAGATGTTGGATAAAAAACATGCTTTGAAATGGTGCCTCTGAAGAGTTCAGGCTAATCTCAAATGAAATGTGTAGCCATAATCTAATTCCACACACATTTAATGAACATCTTTCACATGTAAAGCAATCTGCCCTGCCAGAGATAACTCCAAAGACAAGCACAGCACGAGGTACTTGATCACAAGAAGTTTAAAATTAGGTAGAGAGTAACACAAGAAATACCAATAATTACCTAAGTTCCCTAAGAGATTTACAAAGCAACAGGATGGAAAAAATACAGTTCACTTATGGTACTAGAAGATGGTAAAAATGGTTTTCTTAGTAGACGGATTTTGAAGAGCCTGAGATTGTAGGAAGGACATTTCAGTAGAGGCAACATCTTAAGCAAAGGTGAGTTATAATATAATGAACAATTTGCAGGCATCACAGACCTTATGACTGGCTAACAGGTGAGGACAGACTAGGACAAATATATGACAAGTCTAGAAGGAAAGATCATGGGTCAGATCGTAGAAAGACAAGAATGCCAGGTTAGCCAAGAGAATATATCCCTTTGAGCTGGCCTGTTTCCTTAAAACAAGACTTGACAGCACTGTGCAGGAGGGGAAAAGAATCTAACACAAAGAACTTATTGCAGGGGGTACTGCAGTAGTTCAAAATACCTTTTGGATTAAAGGTGAGTAAGTAAGGAACTGAGCATGGCAGTTGAACACAAAAGGATACCTGAGTTCTGAAAGAAAACTTAAACAATTCCAGTAAACAAAGTCTGTGTAAAAATTCATAATTTGAAGGACAAAAAGGTACCGTGCAGGATGGCTGATTAGCTCACTTGGGAGAGCATGGTGCTGACAACACCAAGTCAAGGGTCAAGATCCCCTTACCAGTCATCTTAAAAAAAAAAAAAAAAAAAAAAGGTAAAGTGGTGTCGAGTTTCAGGTGGTCCTAGCTGACCAGCATCCCCACGGATGACTTCTCTCTTTCAGTTCAATACATGCCAAAGATGAGTCTTAGATACCGTCTGAAGCTCACGCAGTTATCTGGCAGCACTCTTCTAAGACTTGAAGCGGGAACAGGATGGCAGCAAGGACCAGACACAGTCAGGGGGTCAAGATGACCGACAGACTGGGAGGTCTCAATTTAGAGAGCATTCTCAAAGTTTAGAGAATCTTTCCTCTTTTTTATGCCTCTATTCAGTCTGGGTCAGTTACCAAGTGTTTCTTTCATAGAGTTTAAGCTATTCTTGTATGGGTAAACTTTGTTTTAAGGTTCTGAATGTTACAACTTTGCTGAAGTGACCTTTTCTCCTGGAAATCCCCAAGCCAGGGTTAGAAATCCCTAGGTCAGGCTACATCATACTGCTAAGTAACAGACAATATCAGCCCTGAAAGATGCTTAAGTGGACTTTATGTCTACCTTTAATCTTATAGCCACTATGTCTCTTACAGTATAGTACAAGTGGACAATGTACCTGCAAAATTTTTGTTTCAGACACAAATACTTTTATTCAAAAAGTTTTATATATCATATCACTTTAATGTATCATATCACTCTTAACATTTTGCCCAACTCATGAACTCGTGATTGTCAGGACAGGAAGTTGGGAAACACAAATAAGATTTTCATGTTTTATGCTCACTGAGGAAAACCAGTTAGATGTCTTTAACTTCTCACCTATTCCAAATACCACTGGATGAGTGGCCTCAACATTTGTACTTTAAGAGGCCCCAATGTTCCCAGAAACCCATGGAGTACAGGCTGTCTACACCCAGAAACAACACTAAGGCAGACAGAGGTCCTAGCAGTTAGAGCTGTGTCGCTTCAGCCCAAAGAAACACATTCAAGTCTGCAGGAAATGAAAAGCTGGGAGCTCTGTGCTCTTGCTGCCTCTAATTATTATATCTTACTGTTTTGTTCCCTTCAGAAAACATTAATCCAATCTGTGGATTTTTATTAATTTATTCCACTATTTTGACTTTCCGGATAACATTATAGGCAGTATGGTATCAAAAAAATGTACAAGAATGTATACAATGAGCTCACAACCTTAAATCACCAAGCTTGGAAGGAAATAAGCTATAAGTGAGATTCGGCAGAAAAAAAAACAAATTCAAACACCCGAAGTCTTCAAACTGGAATTATCAGATGCAAAATATAAAATAATCCATTATAAAATGTTTAAAGAAATAATTAGCAGAACTGAAAACATATTCACACAAAAACTTGCACACCAATGTCCACAGCAGCATTTATCTATAATAGCCAAAAAGTGGAAACAACAAATGGAAAAACAAAACGTTGTAGTGTCCACACAAAAAAATATTTCTCAGCCATAAAAAGAAATAAAGTACTGGGCCGGCCCGGTGGCGCACTGCTACAGTGCGCCGCTTGGGAAGCGCGGCGGCGCTCCCGCTGAGGGTTCGGATCCCACATACAGACCGGTTCCCGCTCACTGGCTGAGCGAGGCGTGGGAGCAACACCGAGGGTTGCGATCCCGTTGCCGGTCCTGGTCCAGTACAGGGGCGACACTGAGGGTTGCGATCCGTTGCCGGACACAGAAAAAGACAAAAAATAAAATAAAATAAAATAAATTGCTAAAATGGTGAATTTTATGTTATGTGAATTTTATTTAAAAAAAAAAAAAATGGGGCCAGCCAGTGGCTCACTCGGGAGAGTGTGATACTGATAACACCAAGGCCACACGTTTGGATCCCAAATAGGGATGGCCAGTTGCTCACTGGGTGAGCATGGTGCTGACAACACCAAGTCAAGGGTTAAGATCCCCTTACTGGTCATCTTTAAAAAAAAAAAAAAAAATGTTGGCAAAAAGTGCCAAAATATAACATCCACCTCCTAGAACAGTGTCTGGCATAAATACTCATAGGTACTTAATAAATTTCTAAAAAAACTAACAAGAACCTATTAAAAAATGACAGGCAGATTCAAGATCAAATACAAATTTTAGAAATAAAAAAATATTCTCTGTGAAATTAGAAACTCAATGAATGGATGGAACAGATACAGCTAAAAATAGAATTTTCAAAGCAGAAAAGAGTTTTGATGAAATCACTTAGAATGCATGACAGAAAAATATGTCAACGAAAACCACAAGAAAGGTTAACAGACATGGAGAACAGAACATCGGAATCCTAAAAGAATAGAGAGGTATAATCATAGTTAAGAATTCTGCAGAAATTAAGATATAAATCACAGATATGTAAAGAAAATATACCAAGATAGACAAACAAGAAATCTACAGCAAAATATTATAATTGCAAAACACCAAAGGAAAAAAAAAGATAAAAATAATCAGCCAGGAAAGAAAAGAATAAGTTTACCTCACAAAGAAACAATAATTAGACCAAGAGATGACCTCTCAACAAAGATAGGAGCCAGAAGATATTGTAGTATAGTCAAAGTGCAAGAAGAAAAGAAACGTCAACCCAGAATTGTGTACCCAGAATCCAAAAATTAAAGAATATACATATTTTTTTTCTCAAACACAGAGGGGGAATATAACAAAAAATGACCACATAGAAGATTTTAAATCAAGTCTCAACAAATTTTAAATAATCACCACCTGTTCTGATTATAATGCAATTAATTTAGAAACAAAAAGACAAAAGTATCCCCATACATTTGGAAATTAAAACACATACCTCTATATCATGTATCAAAGTAGAAATCATAATGCAAAGTAAAAATACACAGAACTGAATGATAATGAAAAATATTACATATTAAAACATGTGGAATGCAATACCTAGAACTATCATTTTTCCACTTAAGAAGTTAGATATAAACAAGATAAACCTCAAAAATAGTATTAGTTAATAAAACAGCATAAATTAATAAAATAGTAAAACAATACAACAGAAAGGGTCCAAACCAAAATTTGGTTCCTAAAACTTATATAGACCTCTGGTGAGAGTGACTAATAAGAGAAGGCATAATAAAAATATCATGTAGTAAGTGCTTCCAGCAGATATTAAAATGAGACTATATGGATAATTCTATCCCACCAAATTTGAAAACTTAGAAGAAATGGATAAATTCCTAAAAAACAAAGAAAACATAGAAATTGACCCCAGAAGAAATAGACCAGAAAAGTTCTTTAACTATTAAAGAAATGGAATCAGTATTTTAAAATCATCCATAAACAAGACACAGGCAGTTTTGCAATTAAGTGCTATTCACCATGCAAAGAACAGACTGATCTAAATCATACATACACCCATCTCTTGAAAAAAGAGGAAACACTACCTAACACAGTCTGGGAAACTGGTATAATCTTCATATAAAAACTAGACAAAGATGGTATGAGAAAGAAAAATTGCAGGTCGGGCTGGCCCGGTGGCGCACTGCTACAGTGTGCCGCTTGGGAGCGCGCCGGTGCTCCCGCCGAGGGTTCGGATCTCACATACAGACCGGCCGCTCACCGGCTGAGTGAGATGCGGGGGCAACACCGAGGGTTGCGATCCCGTTGCCGGTCCCGGTCCGATACGGGCGCGACACTGAGGGTTGCGATCCGTTGCCGGTCACGAAAAAAGACAAAAAAAAAAAAAAGAAAAAAAGAAAAATTGCAGGTCAATCTCATTCTTCATCACAGATACAGAATTCCTCAACAAAATATTTACAGGT